TCATTAGAATTGGCAGCAAGTGTCTTTACCTGATCAGCTAGCTTGCTGGCCCTCAAACATTGCACATTTTGTCTTACAAGACTTTCTTTGAGATTTAGTAAGTTAATCTGTTGTCAAACTAGAAAATTTTGGAGCATGTTGAGTGACCTGATCATTTTTGCTTGGAAATGTTCCCTTTCCTTTCCATGTCCATTAAGGAGATAACATTAAGATGGGAAACAATTCTGCAGCCCACATGTGCTTATGTGCAGGGCCATTGATGGGCATGGAAAACAAGGCCTTGTCCCCAAGGAGAGTTAATTCTCCCTTCCTCAGCAGCCATCAACAGCTGGACTCAAGGGGTTATTAATAACAATAACAGATGGAGGATATGAAGCTGGGAGGATGACAAGACAGAGGTTACAGGAAGAGGTAGAGGAAGGTATTGGTAGATGATTTCTTTAAACTATGGGGTTTAAATGCATGAAAGTTTTGAAGACAAGAATGGTTAAAATATTATTAAAAATAGAAAATACAAAGTGAAATAAAAGCAGTGGTAATTAACTTCATAGGTTAACTGTCTGAAATAAAATATGTATATATTTGGGGTAGAAATTCAACGCTCTGCTCTCTTTGAAGTCGAACTGTGATATGCAACTTGAGTGACGATGAGGCTGGCAGGCTCTATGTTGGTATTTGCTGGTAAAACAGATGTGTACACTCACAGGCATTGCATGGGATGCTAGCGAGCCTCAAGGATTCCTTGTTAAGGATGAAAATCTCCAGGGAAAGACTTGACTTTTCTTATACATTCAATGGTGGATAGTTCAAGGAAGAAGAAAATCATAGGATGCAACTTTTTTTGAAGATTTTTTCAAGCAAATTAGTTTTCATAGGAGGTATAAAGCTATTATAAGTGCATATAGTTGCAGTAGATAATAATGCAGTAAGATAGTTGTTTATAGAAAATATAATATTCATATTTGGTTCTATTTAAATCTTAGAGCACACATAGCATCAGATATTGATTTTCATTGTCATAGTTTATTACTTCTAATAAGTATGCAACTTTTTTTGAAGATTTTTTCAAGCAAATTAGTTTTCATAGGAGGCATAAAGCTATTGTAAGTGCATATAGTTGCAGTAGCTAATAATGCAGTAAGATAGTTGTTTATAGAAAATATAATATTCATATTTAGTTCTATTTAAATCTTAGAGCACACATAACATCAGATATTGATTTTCATTGTCATAGTTTATTACTTCTAATAAGCTTCTATGGATCAGTATGTCTGAATAGTGTACTTTTGGGAACACTAGTCTTGCAAAGTCTTGAACTATGTACCATTGTTCAAGTAAGTTTTTTTTTGAGATAGGGTTTCTCTGTGGCTTCGGAGGCCATCCTGGAACTAGCTCTT